TTCACCCTCCCAAGTCTAAAAGCTTTCATGGATTTAACTAGACATCCTAATTTTCAAAGTATATCCAAAGACATTCAAAGCAAAAGGACAAGTATTTCTTATAAAGATCTCATATCTGGGATTGAATGGGCCTGACCCTAAATTAAAATACCACAGACAGCTGGTTAAAGAACAGCTCCTGAAGCTCTGAGGCAACAAATTCCTGAGTCTCCTTTGACAGGATTCTATCTCAGGGAGGAGCACAAATTGTCCAGCATCTCCCAACCTCTCCAGGAAATCTGATCATGGGAAGGCAAGTGGGGTGGGATTGCTGCTCCTGAAACCATGAATGCATCATCTAGTGCTGACCCAGAAGTGTACATGAACTCCCGAAAGAGATTGAACTGAAGGAGAAACCTTTGTGATGGAGGTATCAAGACTCACCTGAAAAGTTTTTCTGGCAGAAAACAGGAAAAAAAAGAACATATCACAGAGATTACATGTAGAAAATACTACAGGTTGCATACTATGGGCAAAAAAATTTGGAATCAGAAGACAGGAGAAACAACTTTGTGCCACTGACTTCTTTCCCATCTTAAAAGAAAAACCTCCTTCTGCAGAGTTAATGGAGAATCAACTGACAGTTGTTCTGCATAAGGCTCTACAACATGACCTTTTTGAAGCCATGTAGCTCCAAGACATTATTTTAGTTGAACAAAACAATATGTAGTCCTAATTAAGAATAAAAAGTCAAGAGGTTGTTAAATTCTGTGTCCAAATGTGAAAAAAAAAAGTCAAAACATGATCAGAGCATCATTTTCTGTCTTGTAACAGCACTCTCAGGCTCTTCTGATCAATTTTCTCCTCCTTTAGAAAAGTCCACGCTTTTTTAATTGCATGCCATATAAGATAAAAGAAAGTAACTATGTATGTGTTCTGAACAAGCTGAAAAACATAGTCAAGGCGTCTCTGAGACAGAAATCAATTTTCTGTATATCACGCAATCACACTTTGTTTTATCAGACAGGGACTTCCTTTAATAGTAAGAAATACCAGTGCCAGAATATTGATGTACATGCAATCAGTCTCAATGATGAGGTTCCCTGTTAAGCACAGTTCCTGAACTTCTGTGGGTGGCACCTCACCAAAGGCCCCACCAATTAAACAGAAAGAGGCCACCCATTAAGTTGCCACAAATCTCTAGGGACAGGGAAGGCGTCCTTGAGGAAGTCCTACTACACCATTGCCCCATTTTTAGACTCTTTCCCAAGCATCTTTTTTTGTCTGCCATCAAAAAAATAGGATATTGGGCTAGACCAACTTTCAGTTCTATTTTGTGTGGTCAATTCTTATGTGATTAAAAAACCCCTATTTTTTAAGTCTTAATCCATACACTATTTAATTTACATGAAACTAAAAAGCCACTACTTTGAAGATCCCTTCCAACCCAAACTATTCCATGATTCTATGACACAGCAGGTGCAGAGTGGATCCACACAGAATATATAACAGCCTGCAGTAATGTAAAACCTGGCCCATTCCCAGGCAGCTGCTCGCTAGCTGACAGCACGGGTAGCAAGGGCTCCATAGGAGGGGTCTACAGACAGCAGGAGGGAGGGACAGAGATGATCAGCGTGTTCCCATGGCTCAAGCACCTCACAGGAGATGGTCTGTGCAAAAAGAAGCAGCATCCTGGCAGACAGAGATCAGGGAACTCCTGTTGAACACCATAGTGGCCAAAACAGTGAGTTATGCACTGTTTACGTCTTCTCACTTCCACCATTGGGTTCCCATCAACATCAATGACAAGTCAGAATCATACCTTGGTCAGCTTTCCCTGGCTTTATCAGTGAAACTGAGCCATTACACACACGGGAGATTCAGTTCACTCTTACAGATCAGTTATTGGAAATACAAAGCAGCACATAATTATCTTTTCCTTGCAGTACATTAATTCATCAATTATGAAGAATAGCTATTGCACTGGCACATAGACTGAGCTGCAAGCTGTCCTTTGCTTGTGAGAATGCCCCATGTTGTGTTCTCAAGCACAGCTATGTGGAAACCAAAGGCAGGCATTTTTGTTCTGATGTTCTAGATTGAGCCACAAAAGATATACAAAGAACTTTAACTTCCACGTATCAAGAGCTACCACTAAGCAAACAGAATAGTGCAAGTATCTTAGAAACTAGACAACCTATAAAAAGTATATATAAATCCCATTTGTATATAGATTTAAGAGCACAACTTTATCACCCACCTTAAAAGTGCTGGCTTCTCATCTAATCAGTAATTGTTCAGCAGAAGCAGAGACAGATTGCATGAAACGTGTTGTGATTTGCTAAGCTCTGTAAATAGAAACTAAAAAGGTGTAAAAAATGTCCTTATGAAAAATACATAGCCAAAAAAAAGAGGAAGAAAAATACACATAAGAAAACAAGTGAGATATAAATGCAGATGATGTTGCAGAATTTAGGACATTGTATAAAATAAATAGATTTAACAATTTATATAGGATACTAAGAAAAACCTCACATTCTATTGACAGATGAAGAGGATTTAATTAACAGCAGGGGAAGAGTGGAGGGCAAAATATCCCCAGTTTGATGAGAAAAAATTATTTTTAGTCATAGGATTTAAAACTTTGAAGAGTGTAAATTCTCCTGCTTCAAGTCTTTATTCAGTTTCTCACAGATGGAAGGAGGAAACTAAATTCTCTGGGGGAAGCTCTTCTTTTATTGCTCCAGCAATGTTTCTCATGTTCTCCCTTCAAAAACTGGTCCTGACTATTACTTGAGACAGAGTGCAGAGATAGAGGAACCTTGCTTTTATCTCATATGACAACTCCTGTATTATAAAATCCTAAAAACAAGAAGCCCTGAGGCCTACAAAATCTTTGTATCCTCAAGTGTAGGAATCCAAATGCAACAGGAAGAATTAACAAAAGTCTTTTCATTGATTTCTGTGAACATTACGTGAGACGCCAGAGACCTCAGCACAAATGAGAACTGTACAATATATTCACAGTCCTGTCAAAACCTGAAGACTAATAACCTAATACGAAGTCGTTAAGTTGGTGATACAAAGAGATCCATCAAAATTTTATTCAGAGGTGTGAATGCTTCAAGTGACATTGGGATAATACGAGCTTGTAAGGCAGTAAAAGGATATGTTTCCTTTTGATTTTCAAGTCCATTTGAACATTGCCATCCTCTATAGGCAAATTATGATGATGGGTAGGAAATTAAATCCACAACAGAGAAAAATGTGTAAATCCACTGGAAAGTAAACAGAGAGAAAACTCTGCAGGAGCCTGAGCCACTGCTGCTGGCCCATGGTGCCACTGCTCTGCTCTCAGAGTCCAACAGCAGGTCCAAAGTATGGGGTAAAACTGGCGAGCGGGGGAAAATGTGTCTGTAAAATTTCAGATGGCATAAAGAAAAATACACAAGAGTGACCTAAAACAGGCTTTAGAGTAAGTGGATGAAACCATTCATTCTACAAAATAACTTTGTTATCCTTTGTTTTGGGGCATTTTTGTTGAAGTCACTTTGTAGCAAAGATCAGTAGTCTCACTTCAGTTTTAGCTTTCTGCCCTAAGGTAAAACCACCTACCAAGAGTTTACAGTTATAACAAAATTCCCCTTATTACGTTGCTTTAACACAGGATTTGAAGTCTAATCTTGTTTTTATAGCATGATTCATTAACTCTCATGAAATTCCTGGGGGAAATCTATTTTCCAGCCTTGAATTTTCCAGAACTGATTTTAAATACTTGAACTTACCACCTCAGAAGTAAAACCAGAATGATTACACTAAAATACACACAGAAACCTTCCCAGACATTCAGATTTCTCTGTACCTGCTCAATGTAGAGACCTACAGGTCTGACCTAGACATCATTTTAACTCACGTTGCAGTATGGAGATTTCATGGTGTTATGCTGACACCTGACCTGAAATTACACCAGAGAAGCTCTCAAACTCAGATGCACTTAAAGAAAAAAATCACAAGTCATTCGTTTTAAGGTTCTAGACAATTGTGGTTTTTTTCTTCAAACAACTGCACTATAGCATGACTAAAATCACTGACAGGTTTGGGTATATACTGTAATGATTCCTGGATATGCTCTCTTATCCTCTACCATGGGATGTTTGTTACAAGAGTCTGCCTTAACAGAGCTCCATGTGAAGAAGCAAGGGGGAAAAAAATCAAGTTAAATTAGTCCTTAACAATTAATTTTTACAGACTAATGCCTGGGTCGTAATTTTTTTTGAAAAAAAAAAAAAACTTTCTGAGTTTGATTTAAGCTCAGAAACAGGAACAAAGAAGATTTGTTTCCAGATTTTAAAGGGCTTTTTATGATCAAGAAAAAATTGGCAGTAGTGTGAGGAAAGAGGAAACTGGCACAGAGTTGCAGTGTGAGTATCTAAGAACCTCAGTTTGCAAGTGATCATCAGGCAAGGTTTCAGAACCAAAATCATCATATGTCGCTCATAATTCTTAAAAGGTAATGAAAATTCCACAATATCTTGCACTTATGGCTTTTGAGAAGATCAGATATTCTCTACTAGTCAAAATCTTTCAAAATTTATAAGCAGGGGAGGCAAGATTTGTCTAATCTACAAGGGTTATCAATGTCCTTGGTTCACACTAATGCCAATTTTAAAATTTTATCTGTAGGGGAAAAGGCACAAGGACTGAACTTGGGGACCAAACACTGGGGCAGAGGAAAAACTAGAGGAAAATGTAGTTTTGTCTGCAACACTGGACCTCAAAGAGCGGTTCCAGAGTCTGAAGGAAACTCATAAGGGCTTTGAGAACTGATTTTTAGCCACATCAGGAACAGAGTCAGTAGCAATGAATCCTCACTCTGAACAGGGAAGATAGGCAGGTTTTCAGAAACTGTTTTGGGCTCTTATGGAAACTAACAGAATATTTTCTTTTCAACCATGCTCCACAAAGTGGGGACAGTTGGCAATGCTTCCTTTTGTGAAACTACATAAAGTTAAAAGCAGGTTTTGCAGGCTCTGTTGTAGTTCTTCAGCCTTTAAAAGTCAGTAGAAGCTCTTGCTTTCCTGTGAAATACTGCTCCAGAGAACATGACTGCGTGTGTCAGTAGTTCCCTCCTGTTTCCAGGACTGAATAAACTATTAAAGTTTCAGTGCTGGCATAAAAGCTCTCTGAAAACATTTTTATCACTCAACATGTAGAACATCAGATTCTCCTGAGGAGTCCAATTACAACTCACTTAATCAAGCCAAAGCCCAGCAACAAGATGTTCACTTAAAATATCAAAAATAAGTTTTGCTCAGTAAACAAATTGCAGTTGTGGACTGGGTGTGTTTCTGCTTTGTTTCCAAGTTACAGCAGCAGCAGTTCTGTCACAGTCTGTCACAGCACTCAGAAAGGCTTCTGACTTTCTGATGTAATTCAAACAAGTTCAGTGACAACTGAAGCCTCTGACAGATCTTCTCGCAGACTAGGATGAATGAATTTTGCAGTTGCTTTAATGGAGGGTTCTGCATTCAGATTTTTCAATAGGCTCTATCAGAGATCCCAACACACTTGTTCTTATCCAAAGAAATAATGAGTTTCTATCTCAGCTGTAAACTGAGACCAAATCTACTCAATATTGTGTAAAAACGGATTAAGGGAGGTCAGAATCAAACAATTAACATCTGCAGGACAGACAAAAAGCAAAAACAAAATAAATATTGTCTGTAAAAAAGAAAAAGTTGATAATGAAAAAAGGAAGTAATTCTATGTATCATCTAGACAGCTGCACTGTTCTATAAAACAGATGCTCATGATGATAAGAAACGCCTGACAATAACTCTTTATTTTAGAAAGGAATAAGAATTCTTTTGTTCCAGGTGCTCTTCAGCTCACGCCTTTTAAGTAGGGAACAGTAATTTCAGTTTTCAGGGGAAGCCAAAAGAGATTTACCTGTATTTCATCTCCTAAACAAAGCTGGCCAGTTTGCAGTGCAATCTATATTTGAATCTCATTTGCCTATGTGAAGATACTTCACATGCATTTAACTTCAGACATTGTGTATTACTAAAAACCAAACAAAGCAGAACCATATTCTGCTTCCTTGAAAGTAAATGCAATCTCTTGCTTTGATTTTGGAGATAACAGCATCAGTTCCTGAATGCAGACAGGAGGTATTAACAAAAAACTCACTTTGGCTCCCTAAGGTACAGGGAGACGTCATATAGACTTTTAAAGCCATTCACTGCTCTGACAAACGTACAGAAAAGCTCTAGTAAGAGTTTTAGAAGTGAACAAAAAAACCCAACCCAAACCAGTCAAACATCAGCGCACTCCCCTCAGCCAACTTCCATTAGAGAAGGAATGAATAAACACTTCTCTCCAGCACTTTACTCAATAAATGTGGGATGTGTTGCAATTAAATGTGATTTTCCTTGCACCCATTAAAGCCTGCCAGTTCTAACAAATCTTCATCTCACCTGAATTCCCTGAGAAAAATGTATAAGTGGTATCACTTATCTGCTTCTCAATCATCACAACATTTTTTAAATAATCCCATTTGGTATACTTACTATCATAACCAAGTATTTCTTTAAATACTTAACCTTCTTGCACATAACAGAAAAAATCTGTTTCTTTACTCACTGTGAAGTATACAAAACACTTTGACAAGTGTACAAACACTTTTGAATGATTATGTTAAGGATTGTTTTGGGACAAACTAGAAGAAAATGAGACTAGAACACTGCTTACTACAACACTATGTTTGACCACAGATGATTTTATCCTCCATAAGTACATAAATTCTTGACAACTGTACTGGTTTTGTATTAATTTATTTTTGGTAAGGAAGAAAAGGAACCAGTTATGGAAATAATTCCCTGTAAGGACCTTGGTGACTTCCTTTAGGCCTGACAAAAACCAATCAGTGGCTGATTTTTAATATTGACACATTGTTACACCAATGAAAAAGTTAGACGCACCTTTGTGAACACACATGCAAAGAGGAAAAATCCCCTTGAATTGCTATTTTCCTTCCAGCTTCTCAACAGTGTGACAATTGATAAAAGATTTGTGTTAATCACAAAAGCATTAGGGTTTGTATAAACCAGAATACTAAGCTCTAAAGTGAAGCATGGACACTAGATAAAGGAAATTATATGATTAAATAATTCTGTTTAAAATCACCTTGTTATGTTATATTAGGTTGTACTATGTTACATTATAATATGTTATGTTTTTCAAATAAATTGTATCAGCTACCAGCTTGCAAAATTGGACTTCCCAAAAAGCCCTTCCTACCTTTGTCTCATCAATACTGCCTATCCCAAAAACCAGACTCCCAGAACTTCTCTGGTGCTTATCTACAAAGACCAGACCTCCAGAACTTCCCTGGTGGTCATCTACAAGGACTGGATGGCTATCTGTGACTGATTATCACCCAAAGGCTTTGTGAATTTGTGAACAACGAGAAACCACAGTATAAGACGAGGCTGCAAACCAGGGTTCGGTGGAGCGTGGAGTGGGCGGTGACCCCTCGCGTTCCCCAGCGCGCTGCTTGCTCTTTCTATATCAAATAAAGCAATCTAAATTTTGCTGAATATCAAGACTTTTGTCTCTCATTTATAACAACAGGTAACGAGTCTGGCCAGGCCAGGCCTCGTGCGGCCTGTGGGACTGGCAGGGCCAGGCCAAGTAGGGCCCTTCCTCTGGTGCAGCGCTGGCTGGGCTGGGCTCCCCCTCAGTGCTGACCAGGCTGGGTTTCCCTCAGCACTGACTGACCGAGCTGGGTTCCCCCTCAGCGCTGACTGAGCTGGGTTCGCCCTCACCACGGCCAGGCGGGCCCACGGTGCAGTTGAAACGCTGCCACTGCTGAGTCTCACCAGAAACCGCCAGGCAAGCACAGGGGAAGCCATTGGCCCTCAGGTGCTGCCTCTGAGTTCTAGCTTGGCTGTCGAGATCCCAGCCTCCCTCCCCACCAGAGCAGCCGCTGCCATTCAGGCCAGGCCCTGCTATTCTGGCCCGGCAGCGTGGCCTGAAATACCCCACTGACTGCTCTTGCCGCTGCCCAGAGAAGATATTAATTCTTTCAATGCACAGATGAGACCTGCAAACATCGATTCTCTCTCTCAGTGAAAGAAAAGGACAGAGTGAAGACACGCAAAGAAACATGGAGACATGGAGGTCAGTAAAGAAGAAAGAGTAAAATCCCAGATGGGAGGATGAGAAGACGTGCTAGCTTGGACTGAAATTCTCTTGTAAGGCTATGATAAAGATACGATTGATATATAGACACTTTTTCCCTGTAACTCATTGAAAAGCATGGGGTACTGGAAGCGTTCACATTGTAGACATGAGCAAAGACATCTATGCTAAAGCAAGCAGATGTTGAAGTAGATATGATCATATGAGAAGTTTGAAGAGAGAGAGTGATGAAGACCTCTGTTCCCAGAGATTAAGATAATTTCAGAGATAGATGAAGAGAAGAACCTTTGCTCTTGAACAGTTCATCTTTAAAATACTACCCCATAAATTGACATGGCCCATAAACTCAGCTGTGGAAAGGCTGTAAAAATCGGAAGGACTTTCCAGAAGTAGATTTCTGGGTGGCTGCTATTTGTGAAAATTAAAAGCCACAAGAGAACGGTATTCTTGTGGAGAAGTCGCCATAGCCAGACAAGAGAGACTCTTCTCCCTAAGTGAACTGCAGAAAGACTATTCTAGAGATGGTAAACTGACTGATTTGTTTCTGTGTTGTCAGCTGTGGGAGTCAGCCTGACTGGGATTCCAGGTCAGGCAACCATCACTGAAGAAGAATTGTATCCCAACCCTAGACTGTGGGAAGCATTTGTTTAAGTTGTGGTGACCCCAGAGAAAAGTTCCCAAAGAGTTATGGGACTTATTGCCATGTTAATATCTAATTTACTAGTCAGTTATCACCACTCTCATATCCAGAATGTTCTCCCTTCCTTGTATTCCCATTGGCCCCCACTTGCTGCATTGTTCCACCCCACCTACCCCACTGGACCCTGCTTCCCCTCATCCCACCTCTGCACCACCTTCCCCTATACCCATTGGACCCTACTTCAACTCCACCTCCTCTCCAACCTCATACTTAAACCCCGGACCTCCCTTAATCCTTGTCTTTGACCATTGGCTCCTAAAGAGACCATCATCCCCTTGGTTGCTGTAACTGGATTTTTGGGCCTCATCCCACTTTTACTCTCACTGTTATTAAAGTGTTTTATGTTACTAAGCCGTAGTCGTCGCACCGCTCTTGTTTTATTTTGCCACTTATACCCTGAATATCTGAGAACCCTAAAAAGGATTATTGGGGAGCACCCTTGATCCCAATAGTCAGTGTGAAAGAAAAGAGGGTTTAGGGGGGGGAGGAGAAGTATTCTAAAGGTTTGAGTCTGGTTCTTTTTTTTTTTTTTTTCTTTTAGTCCTGTTAATAAAGTTCGTTTTTATACTCTTTAAAGTTTGAGCCTTCTTTGTCTTCCTTCTAATCTTATCTCAGAGCAGGAAATGAGTAAATATTTCTAGTGAGTGCACTGGTGATTTGGCCAGCCCTAGACCCAACACATAAATTGGTGCTTTGGCCAGGAAATCTCAAATTGGCAAATTAAAACCACTACAATGACCAAGAGGGATTACTCATTCAAACCCGGAAGCACCTACACTGGCTTTAGAATTGGGACTGAATTCAAATACATCTTTTTCCTCATTTCAGATTTCACTGACATAGTTCAGGTGAAGATAAACAAGTAGTAAATATTATGAGGAAAAATACCATATATGTGCTATTCATCAAGCGAATATTTTTTAGTGCTGTGCTGTTGTCTACAGCACAGCAGATCAAATCTAAGCAGTTCTGAAAGCGATCTTCACTATTTCACAGAAGTTTGTATATTACCATCAGCACGACAGTAATTTCAATTGTGAGGAAAGCCATGATAAGCAGGTGGCAAATCAGCAAATTCTATTAAATTACTTGGCGATTTCTATCTAGTCCTTGGTGGATAATCATACTTGTCAAAAAAGCTGCCAATGTGGCTGAGCATCCAGTTGGCAGGCTAGACTAATTAAGGAATAAATAGATGAGATATCTTAGATTAAATTCTGATTCCTGGCACATTTTATAGGAGATAACAGGGACAGAAGGGAAAAGAACCCAGTTCTCAGAGGATTTTACTCACACAGTAACTGTATGCTCACTTTGCTGCAGCTCCTTAAAACATGGGGAAGAAAAGGAGTGGTCAGAGTCACCCTCTCTCACCAGAGCAGTGGGAGAGACAGGAGCACCTCTGCATGCTTTACTCACCTCCTGCTCAAGCTCAAACTCAGCTCTGCCTGGCTGGCTTTAAGTGCTAATCCCAACTCTTACCACTAGCATTGAATGTGCCTTTCTTTTAACTAAGAAACAAAATAAACAGGAAGAAAGAGGCAATGAAAACAAAGCTGGACTTCAGTGTTGATCATCTCTGCTAGGCACTTGGAAAATCACTTTATCAGTAATGAAGTCAAATACACTGATGGCTGCTCTTAGCAAGAAAGGAAAGGATCATTTTGATATGATCACATAAATATTCAATAAATAAATGGTTTTTTACTTTCTGCAGAGCACTCACTACACAGATCAACTTTTAGTCTGATTGCTTCAACCACTGTACTTTTCTTCTTAGCATAATTTATATCACAACACAAGCATTTTAGCACATAAATTGTGCTACCTCCAAACAGACAATGATTAAATATGCTAAAAAGCTTTTAGCAAGTATAGGTTGACTGAGTCATTTATTGCATTTATAACACTGTGCTACAAAGCAAACTTAAAATGAAAAATACAGTATGTCAAATAGAAGTAAACAATCTGTCATTTTATACATACTTAGGCAGAAGCTGAAATGCTTGCTCAAAATAAACTGACATCAAAAGTTCATTGCTTTCCAGTGAGTATTTCTTGCTTCATATTATGCTATTGCGTTGCAAAAGAATCTTTTGAGAGGTATTTGGTTGTAGGATGAATTGCTTTTTGAATAACAGCTCTGTATTATTTCAAGCAATTCTTGTGGTTTACACCAGCATGATTGAAGTGACTTGGTGCATGATGAACACTGGGGTGCGTCGGTGCTGCTCCCTGTGAGTGCTTTGCCAGCTCAGTGAATCTGTCAATTTACAGATGATGCCTTAACACGTTAAGAAAGATTTTGTTTGCAGGAACAATTTCATTTTAGAAGGTATACTTGAAGTACAAACATGTAGCAATGTTGCACTCTGTGAGTCATTATCTTAGAAACTTAGATAGTTCTGAACGGAGATGTGTCAGCTTGTGACCAATATTTCTGTAATGGCATTTTTCATGACAGCATCATCTATTGGAGAGAGCAGAGCAGATATTTCCCTGTTTGCCCCCTTCCAAGCACAGAACCCTCAACTCCTTTCCAAAGTCTTGGGAAGGCAGGAGTTACTCACAGAAGCAAGACTCAGTAACCTGCCAGTGGGTTATTCCTCACTTGCCCTGAATTGATACACAGAGCAGAGTACAGAAGGAATGGGAGAATGGGACACGGGAAGCTTCCAGCAGCTTCTTACAGAAGCTGCCCTTGTAGCCCCCCAACTTGCAAAAAAATTTGCCACACAAACACGATATACAAATACATCAGCAGCTAAGGACTAGGAGCAGAGCTCTCAGACTGGGATGTTAAGTGCCATCAGAGGACAAACCAGACCACCATTATTTCCCCATTTCCATGAGCTTTTAGTTAACCACTTCCCTGAATCCTATTATCCCAGCATAAACCACTGCTCTGCTATTCAGGCTTCTGCCCAGCAGATGCATCTGGTCAGAATGTCAGATTTCCTACTGAAGCTAAGAGAGGCCAGAGGAAAGACCTTGGCACCACAGTCACGTGGTGACTTGGCCAGCAGTGTGACAACAGAGGCTCAGTTCAGGATGAAAACATTTTGCACTGAGTCAGCCAAGTAGATATATATGCTATTTTATTTCAAGGGTATATGTGTTTTGAAAAACTGAAGCCTTTCAAGACTTTTCCAACCTAAAAGTTGAATATTAACACAAGACAGGACAAGGAGTAGGAGGGCACTAAAACACCTGCTGGTGAAAGGTAGATTCTGTTCATTTAAGTCACTGAAATAGAACTTGTAGAAAAAAAAAAAACCTCACAAAATACTTCTCCATACATTTTGCTAAGGCTTACAGACAGATGCATGTTTAGGCTTTTTATGAGTACTGGGCAGGTTTTTACTAAACCCAGAACACACATCTTGTTCACTGGCATCAGCTGTTTTGACCAAACTTGCCTTGCTCTTCACTGGATTAATCTCTCCTACAGCCAGAAAATTGCTTTCCTAAAGAATGAGAATAAACTAAATCCAAATGTAACATCCTTCCTAACCCCAAAATTGGGCAAAATAATTATGCAAATTTGTAATTCTCCCTGCCTTGAGTTACAATCCTTAATGTCTGGCACAGATTAATTCACTGGGAAATCTCCACGTCTCAGATATAATTAAGCCTTAATTCTTAAAAGATGCAGCACCTTCCTTGGAACATACAGTGAGTGACATTTCGTGAGTCACAAAGACCCAGAAACTCAAGGAGACTTAGCCACTGCCTTAGGTCCCTGGGTCAGCAGTTTTGCTCTCTATAAATGCAGGAAACCCTGCCTGAGGCCAGCAAGGACATAGAACAACAGGACTAAAGGGCAGCAGAGAGGAATGTCTGGGGAATCACGCATGTCCCGGAGCATAATCCACAGCAGGTCACCTCCATAAAGCACACAAAGCTTGGATTTCACTTTCTCATACAAAATGCAGAGTTCATTTAGGGGCAGTGCATTAACTTGAGGCAGCTTAAAAGGTACATCAGCATCACTAAAAGCAGCTTGCATTTAAAGTCTGTGATACCATTATTTTAGAGCAAATACTCTTCCAGGGTTTGCTTCAAAAGACTAAATTGAAAAATATCACAAGTGATTATTATGCTAATAGTCATTCAAAATGCAACATGATTATTTCCACACAAGGGAATTGATTTCCCTTTTTAGCAGTAGAATTAATATATTGTTTTAAACATAGATATGCTTAATTTTAGAACATATGGACTCTGCCATGTGGCTGTTTACTTAGACGGGGTGCTTTAATTTGCTTGGCACTTCCTAGTGTTTAGGATGTCTTTCAGAGTAAGGAAGAGATGTCTGGACACATTGTGGGCTAAACCAGAGTATAATTAGAAAGTAAAAGCTTTAAGGAATCCTTCTTTATTATATCCACCACGTTTGAATACATTAGCTAGTTCTGTGCTCTATAATAGAACACTCATCATATACTAAGAGACAAACCAAGAATAAAAGTAGCATCATGAGCAGCCCTCCATATGTGTTTTTGGTGAGAAGCACGATGCAGACGCAAAGAAGCTATGAAGAAACTGACTGCATATTTTTCATGTATAAATCCTGGCTTATCTGTTCAGAAAAAAAAACAGTTAACAGATCCCTTAGGAACTCTTGACAATTCATGAAAAAAAACTACGCTAAATATAGCATTTATAAAACTGTTTATTATATAGGTATATAGACTATTTTAGTCAAAGATACACCTAAAAAAAGGTTTAGATGTAGGCAAAATTCAGTTAAACCAAGGCCTGCAGAATGCAGGCCATATCTATATATCCTGGGACCATGATAGTTGTGGAAGAAGCCAGAACCATGCTGTCATCTGTTTAATTAGAGTAGGTCCCAGTTTGACTTAGAGAAAACAAGATTCCTGATATTGCTAGACTAAGAAGAATATTTTTCAGATAACTTCTACACTATGGAATTTGTATCCAATTATAAGACAGGAGCAACAGAAGTCCCAACTTCTGTGCAGAGAGGAGTTGGATGAAATTGTAATTGTAATTCAAAGTCCTTCCCAAAGAGGAAGGTAATAGTGTTAACGAAAATCAGCATATCAAAGTGTGTTTGCATATCAAAAGATAACTCAGCCCCAGATAAACAATGTTCATTTGCATTCTTACAAATTCCCAGAATTAATCAAGGCACACTATAAAATTTCCCTAACTTAATTAGCATGAACAAAAGGGAAGTGAAAGTCCCTACATACTTCTTTGAAGACTCATTAGTGCTCAACAGCATCCTGATAATGTTCAAGTGCAGTTAGAGAGGGGTACCAGAGCAGAATACATTGTAAAACACAGAGCCCCAAAAGCAGAGGACTGAGATGCTGCCAAAAGGCACTGCAGAGAAACACAATGTGAGGTAACAGCTTAATGACAGGCATATTCTCTGCAGAACAGCTGCTTTTGTTTGACGCTTTTTTCTCCCCTGTAAATTTCTAATTTTGTAACCACTTCACTAAAATAAAATTTACCGCCCTGATTTTTAAATTGTCAGCAAGAGGAACTCCTACTTACTTTTTACTTCTTTGAAATTACTCATATAGAGATGCAGGGACATCTGGTAGCAGCCTGAAACATGAGACAAGTTTAGAAGTTGATGAGATAAAGTGCATCTCCCACTAAACTGGTCAGTTTGAGAACTGGGATTGTCCAGTGGTATCTCCAAGACTTCACTAAAAGACATCTCATAATAGAAGTTAGTGCATAAAGAACCTGTGACAACTGTGAAAGCTGTATCATCAAAAACAGGACAAAAACTTTAAACAAGAAATATATTTATCAGTAAAAACATTTCAGAATTCCCTGACTGAGCAACTCTGAAAGGCAAAACAGCATCACTGATTCAGAGCCCTGTCCTCAGGAAGATTCTCCCTTGCATAAAGGGTGCAGGAAGCCCTAGTCATCTGTCCTGTTATTTATGGATAAACAGTTCTTTTTTGAACTTAAGTCCTTTAATTTATGGATAAGAATTCCTTTATTCAATAAAGGATTTTGGATTTTCATATTTGGCTTAGGATTATTTGATGTAGTCAATTTAAAACATTTGCAGAGCATCGAGAATATTGATAGTTTCTGCATCCAGTTCTTCAGTAAAATATTCTAAAGCTATGCCATCACTTTCCTCAATGAAGAAGCTGAAATAGTAACTGGTACTAGAGTAACTGGTGAGTGACCTCCCTGTCTTTACCTTGACATAATCTTTCCACACCTTTCTAAGTCTTCTCAAATAAACCTGTAGAGCAAGAGCTGCTTCATCTTCTTTCTCACCCCCACCCTGTTGAGGAAAGTAAGTGAGAAAGGGGCTGGGAGTGTCTGGCAGCCAGTTATGGTTAATCCAGCATATACTCAGAACCCAGATCTCATGTTTGCAGCAGGATGGCAGCTCTGATGGTCAATTATGAGCATGAGCCACTCTTGGATTGAGAGCTCTAAGAACAATTTATTGCACTACTATCACTGCCTGCTTCTTCAGTTCTCACACATTCCTGAAGGCAAAATTTGCTATGGAAAAGGAAACAAGAAATAACATTTGTGTAAAAGATCCATTGCATCCTCAGTTATATACTCATACAATTACTCTGCTGTGAATAATGCATTACTTGGTGTAATGTCTGGGAGCTAAGATGTATTATAAAAGAATGGTGGATGTGATGCTGTATAGGAGTAGGCCTGAGGACAACATATGTACAAGATATTTATGACACATATGTGGTTTTAAGTAGATTAATTGCTGTGGGTTTAGAATATAAACTGGGGGAACTTACATCCAAAAACCAGATATGTTATGTTCCTGCAATTTGGTTTCATGAACTCAAATAACAATACAAATACAAAAAACTAAATACAAACTCCAATTTAACTTGAATCTGACAGAAAAAGCTTCAGAGCAGTCTCAGTACTTCACAGAAATTGCCACACAGAGGTACTAGAGATATCTAGTAGCCTGAGAACTTAGTCCTGGTAATCATGCACACTGCAGCAGTGCCAAGGAACTTTTCTGGGAACACCTTCGTAGTTCATGGGACACAGGAGTGCAATTCTGAACTGAACCTCACAAACACCCCCCTTCAGAATGCTCCGATGCACACTGTAGCATCTCAGAGCATGGGAATTGAATTTCTGCTGCACATGACCTAGAAATTCTCTCCAGCTGCATCACAAACCCAGGCTAGACCTAATCTGAAGTTAAAAGAAATATAACAAAAAAACCCCACAGAGTCTGAAATGCACATAGCATGGACATCAAGCTCTGAGTAGTTATTCCACACTCTCTGTTCCCACTGGCCTGCACACACAGTCTGACCACGATGCCCAGTGCTCCCATGGGACTCTCCTGCCCATTCCACACTAACTGGCTTCTACTCATGAGTCCATCACCTTCCCAAGTCTGTGGCAGGCATCTTTCTGATGCAATGCCATGAATTTACACACTGATCCACGATACCACACACAGCCCACACAGGGAAACCCACAGCTGCCATGTTGTGAGGTCCTACCACACTCACAGAACCAAGTGCATTTCTGGACACAGCAAGCCCTGCAGGTGGGACTGCCCAGCACCTTGCTGCAGTTAGGAGAATTAAAGGAGCTACCCATTTCACAGAGGAAAAGCGGCTCTGCAGTGAAGTCACTGGCAAGGAACAGGAGCAGAGGGCATCCCTGAGCAATCAGCCTGACAGAGGAAAAGGCAACAGAAATTTCAGATTGTAAAAACAGAAAGAATCATATTCACAGTGTGAGAACAGAGGAAAAAGTTCACTTTAAGACATTTAAGTCAGCAATTTTTCAAAGTATCATGTCTTGAGCCACAGGCTGTGGGATGACCACTGTGTCATAGAGAAGAGAGTGTCTTGTAGCATATAAAATATTGTACAAATGGTGCCAGCATTCAGCTGTAACTTGAAGCCACTAACTGACTTTTCAGCAATAATGGCTCCAAGCCATATCTAGACTTGCTAACAACAACAGTCAAGACAAAACCCTATGAGATAATTTAGTCTCTTTCTTTATCAAGTTTATCCATGCTGACAGCAGCAAATCCTAATTACTTCAGCTAAGCCATTTTTATTGAAAGCACAACCCCAGCCTGCTGGATTAGTAAAAGAAAAAATAAATCATGTATTTGTGCAAGAGAAATATTTTTTTAGGACAGCTGAGCAATTTTGTTGTGGATATTCAGTATTTTTCTGCAGTGCATTAATAGTCATTTATTTGCCATAAAAAGACATAACAAAAATAGCAAATGGGTTAAAAAGCCATGAACACACTAATGTAAAGAGAGAAACTGGCAACTTGATCTTTCTGACAGAGGATGTTAAAATGGAAAAGCAAACATAAAACCCAGTAAGTATGGTAGGATAGAAAAACTAGCAGTGCCAAACAAGAATTAAGAGTTCAAACATGTGTGATCAATAGAAGGATTTCAAAGGAAGAAAAAAAAGCAAATCAATATTATATCAATAGCCAATGTGGTTAGAGAAAATAAAACCAGTGCATTTCAGGGAAATGAAGCATTTTAAAATATAGTGAGAACAAAATTAAAGTAAGATGGATTATTGTTAAATGTAGTTGATAAAATCCTAAACAAGGATATAGACTAAGGAAAAGTACAGTAGATAATTGTGGACTCTTTTTTTTAAACAGACTTGTGTCCTGCGTATCACACACGCAAATACAAAGATTACTGTCTGTGACAGAAGGAGGAACCCATTTAGACTCCACATTTTCCAACGGGCACATCTAAAAGATTTGAGTCTATGAATCTGTAAAGCACCACTCAGACAAACAGAGAAGGCTTTTAAATTGAATATGAGTCAGCAGTCCCCTGGAAGCCAGGAGGGACACCCATGTCCTGGGGTACACCAGGCACAGCATCGCCAAGGGGGGGATTGTCCTGCTCTGTTCTCACCAGGGCCTCACCTCTACTTCTGGAGCAATTTGGGGTGTCACAATATAAAAATGACATTAAGCTGTAAGACAGTATCCAAAGAAGGCCACAAGGATGGTGAAGAGCCCTGAGAGGAAGCCTTGTGAGGATCAGCTGAGGTCACTTGGTCTGTCCAGCCAGGAGAAGAGACTGAGCACGGACCTCATTGCAGCTACAACTTGCTCATGAGCAGGAGCAGACACTGACCCCTTCTCTGTGGTGACCCATGCCAGGACCCGAGGGAATGGCCTGAAGCTGTGTCAGGGGAGGTTTAGGTTGGATGTGACGAACAGTTCTTCACGCAGAGGGTGGTGGGGCTGGAACAGGCTCTCCAAGGCAGTGGTCACAGCACCCCTGACAGAGCGTTTGGACAATACTCTCGGGCCATGGTGTGACTCTCGTGGCTGTCCTCTGCAGGGCCCAGAGCTGGCCTCGATGATCTTTGTGAGTCCCTTCCAACCCAGCATATTCTGTGATTCTGTGAAATTCCAGTGTTTAATAAATCAAATAAAACGTTGAATTTCACAAGGTTTGAAGGACTCCCTGAGTAGTTTTAAGATGTAAAAATGGCAAGGACACCCATGGAGTTACAGTCTGCATAACATATTAGTCTACAGAACAGTTACTGCGAATCTCATAATAATAAAGAATTAGAAGCTAAAATGTAATTAATGACAGGCAACATGGTTTTATAATCTTTCCACACCTTTCTAAGTCTTCTCAAACAAACCTGCAAAGCTGACAAGATTACTCATCTGGTAGATCAAGCTATCTTGACATATATTTTAATTTTTTCAAACTGTTAGATTTAATTCCATATAATGTTGGCATCAGATACAGTCTGAGAGGTATCAAGAAGGATTACAGAGCTCTGGGAGCAGCAGTAAATGACGCTGGAGTGCAGGTAACCTTTTCATCACTCCTCCCAGTCAAAGGGAAGGGAAAGGGCAGTCCAATCTACCAAGTCAAAAAACGGTTGCAGGACAGGTGCCATAGCCAGGGCTGCTTCTTCACACAGAGGATGGGTGGGCACTGGAAAAGGCTTGATCAAGTGCTGCTGAATATTTTCATGAGCAATATAAAATCTCTGCTAATAAAGTTTGCAGCTAAGACGAAGTTCAGTACTATAAAAATGAACTCAAGTAATAAAAGATACAGGACAATGTGAATTGCCAGTAGACTAGTCAGAATCCATCTAAACCTGTTTTAACATAGCCAAGCTCCAGGTAGCGGTGGCAGGATTACAGCACACAGACACAGTAACTTGCTTAGACTGACCTCAGGGCATGTCTGGAGCACCCTTCATAAAATGCAGAATAACTGTTAAAATCGAGGTAATGGCAGTAATTATGTATATAACCCTAGTAAAACATTGCTGGAAAACCACATTCTTTCAGAAAAGGAGCTGCACAAAGGGCAGAATAATACAGGAATTAATTCAAAGGACAGATATAAAAAATAACCTGGAAAAGCAAACTTTACTGTAAAAGCTTAAGGCATATAAAAAGATATGTGATTGCCCCACAGTAATTTCACAATGAAGCAAATATAATGGTGGGGAATTTTTCCTTCTGACAGAAATAATAATAAAATCCAATGGCTTAAAGTTTAAGCTTGCAAAATTCAGCATGAACATTAAGATTAAATTTACTAATGTAGGTGAGCAGTGGCATATATAAATGTAAAATGCATTGGGGAAACTCTATCAGTTCTTTTTGAATTCATCTTTATAGGTGTGACTAAATGAAGTAAACCAGTGTTTGAGCTGGAATCCTGAACACAGACTGTGAATGAAAGGGAGGACACCAAGCAGCAGGAGACAGAATGGTCAGTAGATGAGCCCTTGCAGTGCTGCTCTCTAAAGTCCTGCTCATTTTGTAAAATCTTTCACCTACTGATATTCCGAGCAGCATCATTAGGACTCACTATCACAGACAAGTAACTAATATTTGGTGAGTTTTATATTGCTCTAAAAAGAATAATCACAGCTGAGAGGAAAAAAGCACATAACATCTGATCCATTAAAAAATAAAAATCTTTGAGCAGTTAATTTAGATACAAATGAATTGCTGCAGAAATGCTGCCACCCAGCTGTAAAAAAAGCACAGGGGGAGACTCAGCTCCCAGAACAACTCAGCTAAATGGAAAGCTACTAAAGTTCACTGACTTTTTATTTATTTGAGCCTTTTCTTTGCTAAGTTCAGTTAAAATCTATTCTGCCAGAAAAGGTCAGAATGTATTTGCTTTAACTAGGTAACCTTACAGACTCTAAAAACTTCTGAGCACATTAAAAATGTACATCTGATGCATTTCCTCACTATTTCTTTTTTGCATAAGGCGGCCCTTTTCGTCTAGCCATTATATTAAAAAATAATTATTAAAAGCCAGTATAATTTAGATAGTGGCAATGCACCCCATTTGAGAGAAATGAAAGGGTCCTTTTTAATGGGGGGAAAATAAAAAAGTTCAGGCCCAATTTTCGAATCTGTGATGATATTAGCACACAGTAAAACCAATCTCATTAGCATTATTTTAAAAAGTTCTATTGAGAAGGTAATTTCCAGATGAAATTAATAACTCACAGATGATTATGAATGCCTGAGCAGTGAATAGAGATTCAGATGTTTTACTTCCATGTCTCTCCTAGATAATGCAGAGAACAAATAACTAAGCCTCTAACACATTAAAATACTAACTCTGAATAACTGTATTCAAACCTGACATTTAAGACCAAGAAGATTTTTGGGGTTTATGCTCTTGACTCATTTAAAATAAGAAGTAACAAATTAACAGTGAGACCTGAATTTTAATTTACTTCACACAGATGAGTAAATCACAGAATCATAGAACAGCCTGGGTTGGAAGGGACCTGAAAAATCATCCAGTTCCAACCCCCTGCCATGGGCAGGACATCTTCCACTAGACCAGGTTGTTCAAAGCCTCACCCAACCTGGCCTTAATCTGAACAGAGAAATTACCAGGGCAGTAGTCCAGCCACAGCAAAATACTAAAATTCAGAAGATATTAAGACCATGAAACAGGGATTAAAGGTGATCTTTGTACAGTTCTCCCATAAGACCTTTTCTGGAGCTGCAAACTTTAAACTGTTCATTTTAGCAAATCTAACCATGTAAATCCAATACACTTCCCCCTCTAAATTTATTGGGGAACAAACACAAGGAAAGGAATTGTAGTGGTTAAGAAGTGTTCTGATAATATTCAGCATAGAAGACAACTATGTGAATACAGACTAACCAGATTTAGCCTAACAGCTGCAGAGTCCCCCAGACAAGTAAGGGTGAAGTGCCAAAGTACCAAAGAGTTCCACCACAGCTACACATGCTTTCTACAAAGCAGTTTTGTAGAACAGTTGTGAACCACTGCAGAAGGTCTAAAACTAAGAGAATCCAAGAGATCTCATCTAGTCTAGTGCTCCTGCAACACTTGAGCTTAATTTAATAAGAAATAACCTATTAGTGCACAAGTGCTTGCTTCTCTTCAGGCTCTTAAACAGACTGCAGGTACCAAGGGGAAAACACTGCAGAACACAGAGAATAAATGCAATTGCAGCAGTCATTCACATCATAACTCTAAGGGGTCTGGTTTCAGCCACAGTTCCCTCCACGTCATGCTCATATCATTAAATTCTTATTTCACGTGGTCACTGCAATTGTGTATTGTATACAACGAAGCTATGCTCCCTTCTACTAGAAGGATTCTAATTGCAATGCTTGTTAACTGGTAACCAATGAAGTAAGTTTTATCTCTCCTTAACAAATGGAGTGATTAGCAATAGGATAATAGACTAATGTCACTCAGGAACATAAAGGACTATTTGTAACTCTAAGCAGAGATGATTACTCACAGTAATAGAGGATTATTCAGGCTGTTAGTGCACCTACTCAACTGCTACCTTTCACAGGAGGGTTTAGGCACATGGCTGTATCCAGGCAGAATCACAGAATGACTGAAGTACCTCTGGATCCTCTGCACAGAGCAGTGTCAGACAGTTGGTGGATCATTTTGTTCAGGTGAATCTTGAACAGATCCAAGAATGGTCACCTAACAGCCTCTTTGAGTCACCACAAGTGTTCAATCATTCTCAGAGGAAAAAAACCCCTAATGCTTAATTTCTTATATTTCAATTTGTGTTTACTGCTTCTTATTTCATTGCCTTGTGTTTATTGCCTCCCTGAACACTAATGAGAAGAGTCTGCCGCCATCATCTTTATTTCTCCCACCATCAAGCATTCATTATGCATACAGGTAAGAAACCTTCCAAGCCTCCTCTTTTGCAGGCTGAATAGTCCGAGCTCTCACAGCCTCTCCTTGTGTGTAAAATGCTTCAATCCCTTCACCTCCATGGCTCTTCACTGGACTCACACAGTTTGTGTGTCTCTCGTACTGGACAGTCCAGTCCTGGACAGTGCTCCAGATGCAAACTCACCAGGGCAGAGAAAACAGGAAGGGTCACCTCCCTTGGTCTGCTGTCAATGCTCTTCCAAACGCAGCCCAGCATGCTGCTGGCCTTCTTTCCCACAATTGCTTGCTCACTGTCAGCTTGGCATCCACCAGAATGTGTCTTTGATCTGCAAAGCTGCTTTCCAGCTGGTGCTGGTACATGGGGTTACTCCTGCCTAGGTGTAGGACTTTGCATTTTCCCTTGTTCAATTTCATGAGATTCCTGTCAGCCCATTTCTCAGCCTGTCCCAATCCCTCTGAATGTCAGGGAAACCACCTGGTGCAGTCCCTCCTCTTTACTTTGTATCCTTTGCTGAATTGCGGAGGGGTCACTGTCATGTTCTCCAGGTCAGGAATGAAGACCAGTCCTGGCCCCATCACGGCCCAGGGTACACCATGAGTAACTGGCCTCCAGCTGGACTTCCTGCTATTCATCATGACTCTTCCAGACCAGATCAGACTGTGCTGTGAATAATTTTGCTTTTCGAAAGGCACTACATTTTCAGCAAGGCAGATGACAAGTTTCACCTTTTTGTACTCTAACCTGACAACTGCTGAGTCAAGGCAATGCCACTAATTAAAGTGCTGTTGACATTTCAATTGCTTCCCATCAGTTTAGGAGCAACCCATAAGCATCACACACATCTTTGAGATCTTTGTTTTGCATAAAAACTTGCATTATCCATTTCACCAAAACAGCAG